TTTGGTGCTTTTGGAGCTAGAGTTAGCTCTTCATTTTTCTATTTAGCTCCGGAAATTGGGCTATAACTCTTAGATATTTGTTTTAGCTCTTTTCAAAATTATCTGGCACTTTTTTAGCTCCAGGGAGTTATAGTTGTATTTGGTAACATATTAAAGTTACAAATTTGTAGTTTCATTGCACAAGTGTTGACAAAAATTTATTTGGCTTTGGAGATCTTAACCTATTTTCCATATCTTCATATTATTCTATTTGGCGTAGGGCCACACAAACAATACCGGACAGTAGTTCGAGCTTCGGTAAGCTCAGATGGTGCATTTTTCTCTCAGGCGGCCACGGTAAAAAGAAAAGCCAAAACTTAGGCGTTGAAAAAAATTACAGATTTCGAAATGCAATCGAAAAACATTCACTTGTATGCACGGGAAAATATACTCCACCATACAGTCTTGGATACATATTAAAGAATTCAAAAATTAATTAGAAGAAAATTCTTTTTCTGATCGCGCGGATTTTGTTTTTAGCTTACTAATTTTATACCTATAAGGATAGAAGGAAATAAAACTTTTCAGAAAAATTTTGCAAAAAAAATGATTCGTAACCCGAGATTTATGGTGAATTCAAATATCTAAAATTGCAGATCTTAACAGTTTGTTAAGTATTTTTAGTTCATTGCCTACTTTATATAAGTGTGTGTTATACATAAGTAGGGATGTTGCCATACCATACAAGTATCGATACCAGTATCAAATAATGTATCAGAAGCTAAGTATCGTTAAAAATATTCGTAGTGGTATCGGCAATAAAATATCGATATTTTCTCCTTTTGATACAACAAATTTTTGACATAATATGAATGAAGGATCAGTTAATGAAAATTAATAAGTAATCTTTAAAAAAGCCAGTGCATAATAAACAAAATATAAAAACTAGCTCGATTTCATCAGAAAATCAGTTCTTTAAATTTGTTCTATGTACGTAAATTTCCTATTTTTCAAACAGACGTTGCACTAAACTGAGCTTTTGTCAATCTTGGTACCTACTTTATCTACTTTACTTTTCTGCGTAAAAGCAGAAAAACAGAAATAAAAGCAAATCAATGTCGTTACGCTGTCTTTGTACTGTGTTTATACGGGATGAATAGTATCAATTTGGCATAGGAAATAAAATTTCGCGAAACGATAACATAGAGAATAGAATTATAGAATTCTGGGAACAATATGGCTTGTATGAAGGTTATATTGATATTGATGTTACTATGATACATTAATACCATAGGGGTATCAATAGTATCGGCACCTTAGTATCGAATACCGATTTACCCAGTATCGAAACCAAAGTACAGTTCGTGCCCACTGTAACTCTGTTATTGATTTATTCGTTAGTGGCTATGTATCTGACTGGTACACACAAACCATGAACAGATTACTCTTATTCTTCCTATTTGGCGTTACTATCGTTTTCTCCTCAAAATTTCTGTCTCTGTTAGAAAGTTCCGTCGAAGGTTCGTTCACGTCAAGTGTAGGTAAGACCTATTGCAGTTGGTCTTACTATTCATCAGAACGTTTCACTATGCCTATGTCATTATAAAACTCGTACATCTTCATCTGTACCTGTCGACCTAGCTAGCATATATAGGTACTTAGCACAGGATTGTTTTCTTGAAGATTCGCATCTTTGTTTCAGCATTTCTAGCTTGTAAAATGACGGACATAGCGACACATTTTTATGGCGTGATTTTTTCATTGTTCTACTTCAAGGACGGCTTCAGACTTTGACACAAAATCATGTAAAAGACGTTAAAAGGAGTGATAGGAAGACGGTTATCTTTTTTCCGCAGAAAATCGTTCCTTCGCTTCTTTCGGTACTCCTAGAATATCGCTGGAGTAGCTATTAGGCGCAGGGTGACAGCGACATGGCACTCCACCACGTTGCGTGATATACACGCAGTGGTCGAAATAATTAACATATTACTTCTGTTGGCATTTAATTTTGGTTATTTTTTTACAAAACATAGTTCATTCTTTAACAAAACCAGTATAAATCCAAGTTTTAAACTTTGTGCAATATTTAAGAAAATTCAACAAACATTCGTATTTTTTTTTAGATTTTTTTATTAGATTTCCTAGAAAGATTCTGAGTACGCAGTTTTGTAGTCCATTCAATTCCAGTACATCAAAGTGCAGTTTCAAATGGCTAAAAATTACCGTTGATATTTTAGATTTTTTTGACGAAGATTTTACGGTTTTTTTTCGTATAAAAATGAATTGTGTGTATGGAAGCAAATGGGACAAAAAAAATCTAAAAAAAGCAACCGTAATTTTTAGCCATTTAAAACTTATACTTTGTTTTACTACAATTCAATCGGCTACAAAACTGCGTACTCAGAATATTTGTAGGAAATCCAATGAATAATAATGATAAAATTTTAACGAATTCTGAGATTGGACGTTCTTCAACCGAACTCTGAGATAAGGTGTTTTTTAATAAAATTCTGAAATTTCTAACTGGCTGCCAAAATTGGAAGATCTTCCACTTAGGTATCGATATGTAGTTGATTCGCTGTCTCGATAATGCTGAATTTTCGCCTGCAGCCGCACTTTCTGGAGAACACAGCTGCTGCATGACTTCAGTCAGGATTTACATATACCAAACAAGTCAGGCAGCCTCACAAAAATTGGAGAAATATCTAAATCAGTTATCAAACTATACAGAAAAGACAAATAACAAAGCGATGAAAGTTTAAACGTAATTAAAGATTTGCCATGTAAATAAGAAATGGCAATTGAACAGTGCGTACCGTAAGTGGGGAAACTCTTGGGAACATTGAACTAAGGTAACAGACAATATTTTTTATGTATGGACCGTGAAGAAAAAATATGGTTTAGAAAAAAATAATTCTGGAATGTTTTTTTTTCCAAATCTTGAACGCCCTCCAATTTACCTCTTTGAAAAGTTAGTTTTAATTTCAATTCCAAGAGCTATCCCCATTTATATATCCAAATACAAGAATTATTGAAATAAATTGTCCCCACGACAGACGGTTCTAGGTAACCGGATCAACCCAGGTTTATATCTAGCCAAGGACAGTCACTCGAACATGACTCGCCAAAAACTCTTTGTGGAATTTGTATGCTGTTACAATAATAACATCAATGAAATAAATAAAAAATTGGGCCGTTTAGCAAAAGCATTTTTACAACAGGCCCTACTCTTTGAGGTTTTATTTTTGTTGGATTGAATCCAAATTAGATTTCTAAACATTTAAAAATTTTTTTTAACATAAATTTGAAATTACTCTAAAATATTTTTTTTTAAAGGAGTTCACAAGTTTATATGTTTCCTACTAATATATAAAGTGAAAGTTTATATGTTGGGATGTTTGGGGCTCCATTAAGCGAAAATTATTGAACGGATGCCCATTTTTTTTTAAGAGTTGCCACCTGTTAAAATGTTTAGTTAAATTGATAAGTTTAACCAAAAATAACAATACAGATATCAAGCGAATAAAAAGTTTTAGGAGAGCTTAGTTACGAAAATACTTTTGAAGAGGGTTGCCACCTGTTTGAAAATAAAATTCTTTCTCCATAAGAACCAAATTTTCCACACTTACTACGGATTCCCCAAAGATGGTAAAGGATTGAAAAGACTGAAAGCGCCTCCCAAAAAATCGGCATTTTCATAATGCATACATATCGCTGGTAGAATTTGTGCGAGAGTACTGGAACTTGGTATGGAGATATGTGTGTGAAATCAAATTCATGCTCACTGAGAAAAATGGGCGTTTTGGGAAATGGTCGTGGTACCTCCCCTACTTGTTGAAACTTTCATACTGCATATCTCTTCAAATATTTGGGGTAGAGTACTCAAGCTTGGTGTGAAGATATATATGTATGTATGTGAAATCAATCCCATACTCATGGATAAAAGTGAGAGTTATTAGACAAGGGGGCGTAGCAACTCCAATGAAATATTAATTTTTTTTTTGCACATGGAGAAAATTGGGGTTATTCTAAATGGGGGCGTGGTAGTTCCCGCAAAAAATAAATATTTTATACTGAATATCTCTTGAGGTGATTATTGTAGTGTACTCGGACTTGATTTTGGGATACATACAAAACCAATTCAAAATCAAAAAGGGGCGTGGCAATTGCGTACAAATTGGATTGAATACTGGAACTTGGTATGGAGTTATGTACATATATAAAATGTATCCATTGCTCATAGAAAAAATGTATGTTAATAGAAAAGGAGGCATGTCGCCTGCCATACGTACTAAAGCTTTCATAATACACATACCTCTGAAAGGATAGAAAATCTCTGGAAGTATTTAAATTTGGTATGGAAATTTATTTTATCAGTACCGTACTGACAGAAAAAATTGCCGTTTATGGGAAAGTGAGACGCCGGTATCCGCCATTTAATCTAAAAATCGCATGATGCATACCTCTGGAGGCATTTAGCTACAGTACTGAGGAGTGGTATTTTATCAAAGCCAGGTTACTGAATTTGAGTTGGGCATAGTAACAGCCCGTCGTGGTATCTGCCAGAAGATTACAAGTTGACGCGGCGTATCCCTGGAACCATTTCAAGATAAACTCAGAGGGATTGATATTTTTCGTATGCCTAGCATGCGGACGAGCTTGTATAATTTCATAGTTTTAAACGACCTAAATATTTTAAGTCGCTTAAAAAATATACAGCTACAAATGGGCCCAAAAACAAAATGAAACCTCCTTAAATTATTTTTCATATCTGTATAAGAACGTGAGGTGAAAACCGCGGGTAAAAGCTAGTTATTCATTATATTGCATCCATCCATCAGTATCCATCGATCTACTACTATTTACAAAAGCGAACTTAATTGCTTCCCGATTCTCACATATTTTCAAAAGAAAATATTGAGCTAAGAGCGTATCAAATATTTTATTTGTTATATCTAGTATTAAGCATCTCAAGAAAATTTCGAAGTAAAAAGCTATATATCTTTTAAATATATTTTCAGAATTCCACTGCTTATAAATTCCTATAAAAAAGTTGGATAGTGAGACGTAAAACCCCTGACGCCTGAAGTTAGCGCCCAAGAAATAGAAGAGAAATGAAGAATTACCGGGAACGAGAGAAAACTCATTTAAAATTCTACTTTTTTTCAAGCTAAATGTATGTACATTAGACTGCATCACCAAAAAAAGTTGTGATTTTTCCGACGGATTTATAAAATCTAGTATATTCTAAAACTTCTGCCTGCTATGTTTGTACATATGTATGTATTTATTTTTCCAGAAAGAAAAACTTCACACAGTCACGGCAAAGTACTATTTCAACGTCAAAAAAATGAAAAATATTTTTTCAGTTCTTTACGATTCACGTTATTCAATTTGATCCCTTTCAACAAATCGCACATAAGGACAAACAATTTTTGGAAATTTGATTTATTTGGGGATTAGCATGCCATTTATGTTTTGATTGCAATACTTGTACATATACTATGTATGTTAACATAAAATGATGACACATTGGCTTGAAAACGCCTTTTTGATGCGCCACTGATCCCAAGAGACGGAGAGAAACATAAATAAAATTCTGCACGCTGACACGCTTAAGTGAAATTCTGAAAAATTTTGGGCGTGTTTCACGCAGTGGCAAAATGCTGCCACATCGCTCACTGCATCACCTGCTCCTGCACACCTACATACTTGCTATAATGTAATTCCCTGTCCATCCCATGTTCCGCAATGAGAGGATCACAGCCGCAAGGTAGCATACAATGAAATTTAGGACATTAACAAATTACAATAATCAGAAATAATTTTCGTAGGCGCTTTATCAGTGTTTAAGTTGCTTCATGCTATCTGCTTTTAACCTCATTTGCGGACATGTGGAATTAAAGGGCTCGCAAAGAACTTTCGCACAGCTTTCTCACAATCATCCGAGTGTAATTGTGTGGCTTAATTGTTTCTGAAAGGCCGAAAAAGAGTCGAGAATGAGAGAAGAAGTCATTTAAAATTTTACTTTTTTCATGCAACGCCAAAGTTCGGTTGCTGTGCTGGACATGATTTGCACAAATTGTGAGCCTTCTGTTTTCTTTTTATTGGCATTACTTGTGCCACATAATCCTTATAAATTGCTTAATTTAAGTGAAGTTTTACCTCATTTCTTGCGGCGCATTAAACAATTTTTGCAAAAGTATAAACGCATGCAATAAGGCGTTTGAGTGGAAGAAATATTTTGGCATTTCTGAAATATTGAATCTTACGCATAGGCCGTTCACTTTGCGCTAAAATGCCTAAAGGGAAAGCCACTTACTACATATATGCCCATATTACTTCGAACTGTGTTCTTGTGAAACACTTTAGCAATGTCAATAATAATAATTATGACAAATTATGTTAATAAAGATTTCGTTAGGGATAGCTTCATTAAAAATGTTGGCAGATTAAAAAATAAAGTATTGCACGGAAAGTTTAAAGTTTCGGCAGAATTTTTTGCAATTTATGCGCAATTTTTTTGGAAAGCGGCCTGTTGATTGTGCATATCCCAACCTTTGTCAGCGTTAATAGCCATGAAAAATTATGTATGCTGGTAAGAAGATAAAGTCTTAGTTATTGTTGCAAAAAATTGTTAATCATTTTTGTGTCTCATTATTAGTCACATTGAGCATCGTCACTGAAATGAACAATAGTAGCTTAAAAGTTCTGTAATCGCAAAATACGAATGCAGGGTGAGGAGCAAGATCTTTGCTGTACCAGTCTAGTACTAATAAATAATTAAGTACTGAATTTGCTGAAAAGTAACAAAATCTTTTTAAATATTTTTAGAACATCTGAAATATGCGTGCTAAGTCGGTATGTAATCTTTTGTGTGCCAAGAAAAATCAGCGCAACTCTGAAATGCTGCTTACAAATATTTTTCTTTGATTTTGTTTCTAGCCCAAATACTTTCACAATACGTATAAATTAGGGTGGTCCTTAAATGATGGAAGCACATTTGTACATCAGATTTCTTAAGCCTAAACCCCTACGTCGATGCTACTATAGTCGAAGATATCACGTATAAATTTTGGTCGCGATTGGAGACGGTTAAGGCGTGTCGGACTGGGGTCAAAATTCAGATTACCCTATGAAGGCGTCATAACCGACTCCAATCATGACCAACATTTATATGTGATATCCCGGACTTTAGTACCATCGATTTTGAGCATTAAATGAAACAAAAAAAATACAACTTAAATTTTTTTTTAGTCATCCGGCCTTGACCCCTGTGCGGCACGCCTTAACCGTCTCCAGCTGGGACCAAAAATTATATGTGATTCCTTTAATTTTTTAATGACCACCCCAATATACGTACATATGTATATATCTATGTACGTACTACGTAGTATAATTGTTACTTTAGCGTGTGCCAGGTGTGATACGAATTGCACATACAAACATACATATGTATATTCGCCTACATATAAAAGCAAAAGCCGCTGGACTACAACATATCGCACGCCATATGCTCCACATTCCCAGACAACAAACGCAGCGTGATGCTTTTTTGCAAGCTGAAATTACTGATGTTACTATTTACTTTTGGAAATGTGTGCTGATTCCATTTTTTTTTTTTTGTCGAACACATATCGCACGCAGTTTACGCGCGTACTCATTTTCACGCTGATTAGCTGCAAGCCAAAAGTGGTGATTCCAGCGAATGCCAAAAAAAAGCGAATCATTTAGCACTTTTTAAAAACCAAAGTATTATTTATTAATATTTCTTTTTTGGACGCTACAGCACAATGGGGAACTCACCCTCTAATTACTGCTCATTTGGTGCGAATAAATGTATCTACATATAAATATTCAAGATTTTTGCACATTATTCACACTGTATCACTTTTATTTTCGAGTTAAAATATTTTATTATAAGCTTTCATCGATACTTTCAAGTGTCTGTGATCTTTGCCGCATATGCACTTGCTGTGATTTGTTACAGTTCTTGAAAAGTTTGACATACTTTTAATAACAATTAAATATGATTCTATGGATTAGTAGGCACCCTGCAGGGAAAGCTACTAGTTGTGAACTAGAATTCTACCAGTTTGCGTTTCAGCCCAACTAGTTCACGTTCTATCATTTTTCAATGTTAGCGACTGGTATTTTTAACATTGCGATGTCCTACGAGATGTCAATTGTCAAGCTATGCATCAGCATCTACTAGTAGAAATACTAGTAGCATCATACCAGTTGATGAGATAGTCTGCCAATTCATCCCATGAAAAGCATTAGCATGCCTTTTTGCTCCAACAGTCCCAATGGCCGACAGAGCAAAGCACTCGCGTGGTATGCCTGAGGTACCCGGTTCAAGCCCTGGGAAAATTTTTTAATTTTATTTTATTTTTATAATATTTCTTTTATTTATATTTTTTATTTCGTTTTTTTGTAATTCTTAGATTTAATAAAAAAAAAAATTTAATCTATTTTTTATGGCACAAGTATTTCTTCCCATATATTTGTTTCTTTTTTTTTTGCAATGCAACTAGATTTTTAGTTTGTTATTTATATTTAAATTGAAATAATTATTCCTACTTACATTGGTCTAACTTTAAAAATCTTAACCACCTCCAAGCGGCCTCGAACCTGCGATCCCAGAACCAGAACCAGTAGTCTTCACGTGACGCGTGCGTTTTATTTTAGGCTTTGGCAATTCAAAGGCAGATGTCGCTGAACGCTTAAGTTCTTCGAAAATGTCGCACTGGTATGCGCATACTAGTTTATGAACTAGTATTTTTTCTAACTGGTTTGGGTTTTCACTGCAGGGCATCTACATGTAAACATACGTACATATGTATGTGTAAGTATTTGTGTAATTTTATCTTTCTTTCAAGGCAGACTGCGGTAATCAGCTAAATTTCATCTTATATGTTTTTAAAAAATATGTAATTTTAGAGGTTTTTGTTTGTAACAAAATTGGGTGTTATAGAAAGAAACGAGACTCGTTTGTATAGGACGATCCATATAGACCTTATTTTAATTTTAAATAAAACACTTAAAACAGAACTGGGTGACGGAGCCTTTATTATTGCCCGAAGAAACCAACACCGAAATTAACTAAAGACAAAAAATCATTAAAATGTTGTCCGCGACTACGCTGCAGGAGCTCCATTCGAAAGCTTAAATTTTCAATTACTCTTTCCAGAATTACGCGGTTTACGCGTGTAATGTTGGCTTCCAAGTTTTTTTAATCATAGCTGACTTATCGCCGAAGGATTTTGACTTCACATAGCCCAAAGAAAAAAATCCAGAGGTGCGATATCACACGATAACTTGGTGAAACCAAATGTTGCCAATATCACGTGCTTCAGACAAAAAAAAAAATCCATTATCACGCTGTCGACATTTCAATGAAATTATTTTTAAAAAGTAAATATATTTAAGCCAAAATAATATTGAAATTGCTATTTTAGGCAGTACATATATATATATTTTGTTTAACATTTAAATATATAAGTCTACAAGCTTATAAGAAATAATGTACATATACACGTGCGGTTGCTAATAGAATCGTAGGTCTGCTTGGACAACGCAGTTTGTCATTGGCGATGTTAGTCACAAGTTTGGAGCAGGATGGACACCTTGCGGGGTAGCGTCGAAGACCTCTGTGCTGGACTGAGAGCTGGAAGCTGCTACTCCTGTCTGGCTCTGTTTATCTACCGGCACCTCCATAACCCGCAACGCGCGTAGTGACTCATGAACCATGTCCAAAATGGTATGCTAAGACTTTGAATTGACGGATTGCCGAAGCTTCTCTAATTTGAACGATTCTGGAGAGGAGGACTTGTGTACGAGTCTCAAATACGTCCTTAAACGCAAGCCAATTACACATCCTCCCATCGAATACGGGAATCACCAGCGGGTCAATTTTCATGTCGAACGAACGCCCATCCAACAGAGCCCTATGAGTGTTGAGCACGTGGTCGGTTGAGGCCGCCGCCGGAACTGATTTTGTCGCCATATAACGCCTCAATTGTTTCCCATAAGGCGTCATGCGGTGCCGTCTCATCCTTGGCAGCATGGCCTATAAGATGATCGTGATTAAGAGTGAATCGCTGAAAGTGATTTT